AAAGTTTAAAAATGAAAAATTAAAACTAAAAATGAAATAAAAAATAAAATTAAAAAAATAAAATAAATGCTTTAAAAATAAAAAAATTAAAAATAAAAATTAAATAAAAAATAAAATTAAAAAATAGAATAAAAAGCTTTAAAAATAGAAAACTCAAAAATAAAAAGTAAATAAAAAGTAATTAATAAAATAAATGCTTTAAAAATAAAAAAATCAAAACTAAAAATTAAGATAAAAATAAAATTTAAAAAATAAAATAAATGCTTTAAAAATAAAAAAAATCAAAACTAAAAATTAAAAAAATAAAATAAATGCTTTAAAAATAGATAAAGCAAAAATAAAAATGAAATAAAAAATAAAATTAAAAAAATAAAATAAATATTTTGTAAGTAAAAAATGAAAACTAAAAATTAAATAAAAAATAAAAAAATTAAATAAATGCTTTAAAAATGGAAAAATTAAAAATTAAAATTAAATAAAAAATAAAATTAAAAAATAAAATAAATATTTTGTAAGTAAAAAATGAAAACTAAAAATTAAATAAAAAATAAAATTAAAAAAATAAAATAAATGCTTTAAAAATGGAAAAATTAAAAATTAAAATTAAATAAAAAATAAAATTAAAAAATAAAATAAAAAGCTTTAAAAATAGATAAATCAAAAATAAAAATTAAATAGAAAAAAAATGCTTTAAAAATAAAAAAATCAAAACAAAAATTAAGATAAAAATAAAAATAAAAAAATAAAACGCTTTAAAAATAGAAAAATTAAAACTAAAAATTAAATAAAAAATAAAATTTAAAAAATAAAATAAATGCTTTAAAAATAGAAAAATTAAAACTAAAAATTAAATAAAAAATAAAATTAACACAAAAAAATAAAAAGCTTGAAAAATAGAAAAATTAAAACTAAAAATAAAAGATAAAAATAAAATAAAAAGCTTGAAAAATAGAAAAATTAAAACTAAAAATAAAAGATAAAAATTAAATTTAAAAAAAAATTAACTAAAAATTAATAAAAAAACAAAATAAAATCCATAAAGTGCTGTAAAGTACCATAAAAGTTCCATAAAAGGTAGTGTCGTAAAGCGCGACCGTCGTAAAAATGCACCTGTTACGACAGTCGCGCTTTACGGCAGTTTTACGACAGTCGCGCTTTACGGCAGTTTTACGACAGTCGCGCTTTACGGCACCTTTTACGACAGTCGCGCTTTACGGCAGCTTTTACGACAGTCGCGCTTTACGGCAGTTTTACGACAGTCGCGCTTTACGGCACCTTTTACGACAGTCGCGCTTTACGGCACCTTTTGCGACAGTCGCGCTTTACGGCACCTTTTACGACAGTCGCGCTTTACGGCACCTTTTGCGACAGTCGCGCTTTACGGCAGCTTTTCCGACAGTCGCGCTTTACGGCAGCTTTTACGACAGTCGCGCTTTACGGCAGTTTTACGACAGTCGCGCTTTACGGCACCTTTTACGACAGTCGCGCTTTACGGCACCTTTTGCGACAGTCGCGCTTTACGGCACCTTTTACGACAGTCGCGCTTTACGGCACCTTTTGCGACAGTCGCGCTTTACGGCACCTTTTCGACAGTCGCGCTTTACGGCAGCTTTTACGACAGTCGCGCTTTACGGCAGCTTTTACGACAGTCGCGCTTTACGGCAGTTTTACGACAGTCGCGCTTTACGGCACCTTTTACGACAGTCGCGCTTTACGGCAGGTTTACGACAGTCGCGCTTTACGGCACCTTTTACGACAGTCGCGCTTTACGGCACCTTTTACGACAGTCGCGCTTTACGGCACCTTTTACGACAGTCGCGCTTTACGGCCGTTTTACGACAGTCGCGCTTTACGGCACCTTTTACGACAGTCGCGCTTTACAGCAGTTTTACGACAGTCGCGCTTTACGGCACCTTTTACGACAGTCGCGCTTTACGGCACCTTTTACGACAGTCGCGCTTTACGGCACCTTTTACGGCAGTCGGGCATTACAGCACTACCTTTTATGGAAATTTTGTGGTACTTTACAGCACTTTATGCTTTTTATTTTGTTTTTCATTTTTTAAAATTAATTTTATTTTTTAAATTTCATTTTTTATTTTATTTTTTCTTTTTAATTTTTCTATTTTTTTAAAGCGATTTATTTTATTTTTAATTTTATTTTTTATTTAAGCTTCATTTTTAATTTTTCTATTTTTAAAGCGTTTTATTTTGTTTTTCTTTTTTTATTTTTTATTTAATTTTTATTTTTAATTTTTCTTTTTTTTTAAAGCTATTAATTTTATTTTTTAATTTGTTTTTTTATTTCATTTTTATTTTTAATTTTTCAAGCTTTTTATTTAATTTTTAAAATTTTTTAAATTAATTTTTATTTTTAATTTTTGTATTTTTAAAGCTTTTTGTCATATTTTTTAATTTTATTTTTTATTTCATTTTTATTTATTTTTTCTATTTTTAAAGCTTTTTATTTTATATTTCTATTTTTATTTTTTATTTAATTTTTTAAAATTTTTTCTATTTTTAAATTTTTTTATTTTATTTTTTAAATTTTTTTATTTTAGTTTTATATTTAATTTTTCTATTTAAAGCTTTTTATTTTGTTTTTCAATTTTTTTCATTTCATTTTTATATTTAGTTTTTCTATTTTTAAAGCTTTTTAAAATTTTTCTAATTTTATTTTCTATTTTTTTTAATTTTTTCTATTTTTAATGCATTTTTTTTACTTTTATTTTTTTATTTAATTTTTATTTTTAATTTTTCTATTTAAAGCTTTTTATTTTATTTTTCAATTTTTTTCATTTCATTTTTATATTTAGTTTTTCTATTTTTAAAGCTTTTTTAAATTTTTCTAATTTTATTTTCTATTTCTTTTTTTTAATTTTTTTCTATTTTTAAAGCATTTTTTTTACTTTTATTTTTTATTTAATTTTTATTTTTAATTTTTCTTTTTTAAAGCATTTATATTTTTTTAATTTTATTTTTTATTCAATTTTTATTTTTAATTTTTCTATTTTTAAAGCTTTTTGGTTTATTTTTCTAATTTTATTTTCTATTCCTTTTTTTATTTTTCTATTTTTAAAGCATTTTTTTTATTTCTTTTTTATTTTTAATTTTTCTATATTTAAAGCTTTTTATTTTTTTAATTTTGTTTTTTATTTCTTTTTTATTTCATTTTTTAATTTTTCTATTTTTAAACTTTTTATTTTATTTTTCTAATTTTATTTTTATAAAATTTTTTTTTTAATTTTTCTATTTTTAAAGCTTTTTATTTGTTTAATTTTATTTTTTATTTCTTTTTTATTTTTAATTTTTCTACTTTTAAAGCTTTTTTTATTTCATTTTTTTAATTTTTATTTTTAGTTTTTCTATTTTTAAAGTTTTTATTTTATTTTTCTAATTTTATTATTATTTAATTTTTATTTTTAATTTTTCTATTTTTAAAGCATTTATTTTATTTTTTTAATTTTATTTTTTATTTCATTTTTAGTTTTAGTTTTTCTATTTTTAAAGCATTTATTTTATTTTTCTGATTTTATTTTTATTTAAATTTTATTTTTAATTTTTCTATTTTTAAAGCTTTTATTTTATTTTTTAAATTTTTTTTTTTAATTCTTTATTTTTTATTTTTCTATTTTTAAAGCTTTTTATTTTTTTTTATTTGTTGCTGCCCAGACCAACTCAAGCTGGTCATTGTGGTGGTGTTTGAGGGTCTTGCTTTACGGCAGTACCTTTTATGGAACTTTTACAGCACTTTACAGCACTTTGCAGTTTTTATTTTGTTTTTCATTTATTTTTAATTAATTTTGTTATTTTAATTTTATTTAATTTTTTAATTTTTTTTTATTTTTAAAGCATTTTATTACATTTTATTTTGTGCTGCCCAAACCTGCTGTAGTGCATTTTTATACTTTGTAATACTTTGAAGTAATTTTGTTTTGTATCCCCATATTTTTCCCAAATGGTTTATCCCAAACTGTACCCCCCTCCCTTTACCTGTGTTATCCCTCTCCCAGGATGAGATCATCCCCAAACGCCCACCCTGGCTCTCTGTCAATCACTCAGCCTCCCATCCCCTCCATCCAGAAGTTTCAGTCCAAGTCGTTGAGTGATCAGCCAGAGGCCAGGGGTCAGCCCCCCAAGCCTTGCCCCATACGCTGTCCTGTATGTCTATGCCCCAGCATCCATCCCTTAGGGTCACTTATTGGTTGGTAAAATGTTATCTACTTTCGGTTTCCACCTCCCTTTAAATGTAACCTTGGCACATCTCCCGGGGCTCTCGGCAGGAGGCCCCTGAGGTGCAGGAGCTCCTTTGGGGGTCCTAATAAAACCTTGGATTAACCCCTGCTAAGAGTCGGCCCTTTCTCTTCTACCGATGTCTCTGGTGTCTCTTGTGCTGCAAAGGCACCAGCCCAGGTGCCCTCAGCACCCTTGGGGCACAGAGAGTGTCTGCCCCCAGCCCAGGTGCCCTCAGTACCCTCGGGGCACAGAGAGTGTCTGCCCCCAGCCCAGGTGCCCTCAGTACCCTCGGGGCACAGAGAGTGTCTGCCCCCAGCCCAGGTGCCCTCAGTACCCTCGGGGCACACACAGAGAGTGTCTGCCCCCAGCCCAGGTGCCCTCAGTACCCTCGGGGCACAGAGAGTGTCTGCCCCCAGCCCAGGTGCCCTCAGTACCCTCGGGGCACAGAGAGTGTCTGCCCCCAGCCCAGGTGCCCTCAGCACCCTCGGGGCACACACAGAGAGTGTCTCCCCCCAGCCCAGGTGCCCTCAGCACCCTCAGGGCACAGAGAGTGTCTCCCTGCCAGCCCAGGTGCCCTCAGCACCCTCGGGGCACAGAGAGTGTCTCCCCGCTGTCGGCCATGTCAGGGCTGCCCCGCTGGTGTCTGCCGACTCGGGACCGGCCGAGGGTTACTGAGAGGCTCGCACAAACCCGCTCGGCCGCTGATTGTGGTGGTGTTTGAGGGTCCCCAGGACAAGGGAGGAGACGAGAATCTTGACTCCACCTTTCAGAAGGCTGAAATATTATTTTATGATCTCTATTATATTAAAAGAAAATGAGATATTAGAACTATACTAAAAGAGCAAGGAGACATCAGAAAGCTGGAAAGGAATGAATAATAAAAACCTGGGACTGCTCACAGCCCCGACACAGCTGGACCATGATTGGTCATCAAGTAGAAACAATGCACAGGAGACCAATCCAAGATGCCCCTGTTGCTAAACCATCTCCAGCCCACACTCCACAGCCATCAGATCGTTATTGGTTCCATTTCTGTTCTGAGGCTTCTCAGGAGAAAAATCCCAGCAAAAGCATTTTCATCAAACACGTCAGTGCCAGGTGATGGCACAGGCAGCATCGGCCGGCCGAGGTCACTGTGTCATCCCTGCCAGCCCAGGTGTCACAGCAAGGAGGAGAGAGTTCACCCTGTGCTCAGCCTGCAATACAGAGCAATACACATTAACACAAGATGATAACCTTTTTCTGTTTTCATTACATGTTGATTTATTGTTACAGGAAACCCAAACCAACAAAAGCACACAAAAAACAGCACTCATCTACCATTAACACCCCCTTCAGCTTACACACAAACTCACCATCCCTCTCATCACAACTGCTAAATTACACTCCAGCAATTGTTGGTCCTCGGGAACGTGGTTCCCAAGAGCCTCCAAAAAATCCTCCTGCCTGACAAAAACCCCGGTCCCTGGACGGTCCACACCCAAACCCTGGCGATGAACGTCGCCTCGCAGACTGACCAGGACTGAGGGAAAAAACCCAGCCGGGAGGGAAAAAAAAAAGTGTCTGATCTTGGCAGGAGTTGTTTTTGATGATGAGTTTATTTTTCTTATCTTTTACATAGGAAGGGTGAGTTCAGCTCACATCTTCACAGCATGGTTCAGAAGGTCTCAAGACCCTTAGTTACAAGACCTTATAAAGATTTATTAACCAATAAAACACTGCCAACAAGGATATTTATGGTTTTGATCCAATCCTTAAATATTTCATCTTATAGACCCATGTTACAGAGTAAGATTTCTTAGTTAATCATGTTATGACACACAAACCTACAGTTCTGCATTCTAAACTCCTTGTTAGCTTTATAACTACTTTTTATATCTTAAACTATTTTTATATCCTAAGCTATTTTTATATCCTAAACTTTTTCTATATTTCAACTTAAATCTTTTAAAAGGTTTAGATATAAAAGGTTCTGAGGACCTAAACCACAAATAAATGTTGATTACATTTAAGCCCCAGGGAGCTTTGCAGAGGTTACTGCAAAGTCTTTTGCTTCCCTCTAGTGTTTAATGTCTCCATTTCATTGTCAGTGACTGCCCAAAGTTCACTGCACACAGAGGGAGAATAAATGGGAAAAAAAAAAAAATCCTTGCAGATTTTCCAGACCAGATCCAGGAGAAGTTGAAACTCTCTCTGCTTTGGGATCATTTCCATCTTAAGTTCATCTTCTGTGTCAATGCCAATCTTGCCAACAATCCTCAAAGTGAAATTTTGTTCTTTTACAGATAAATTCTTGATATGAAAACCACCCAGGACACCTCTGGGTGGGTGCCCAGATCTTTGGTTTCCCTTTTGCCCCATCTTTTCTACACATTTATTTTTGAAATATCGGCAAAATGTTTGCCCAAGAATGGAGGGTTCAGTTCTTTTCCCATTAAGGTCATGTGTTCTACCTGAGGTTCAAGAATTGTTTTAGAGATTCTTCAGTAAAAATTTAGTATCCCTAAACCAAAAACATCTTGGGGCAGTGGTTTAGGTCAGAAGCTCTGCTGAGCACCCAGAGTGTGAAGAGCTCTGAGAACTCCCCAAGACAAGCAAAGAAGCATTGCTGTAATTCTAAAAGAGTTTTTTAAAATGGCTTTTTTAAAGGGTTTGCTTATTCCCTGTGTGTGAAAATGAAGAAAAGGGTGAGCAGCTTTTATCCCTCAGGACACTCTTTGCTCCCTGCAGGGCCTTGCAAGACTTTTCCCTCTATCACAGAGAGCATAGCACTATTAGCAAGAGATTTTGTTTCTTTTTTGCTGAAGTGTTAAGTCCTGAGCTCTGTAAGACACGAGGTGTCAGCCCTGATGGGCCAGGGCTGCATCCTGTACTCCTGTGTCCTCTCTTTAATTGGATTAGATGCTGCTTTGACTGCAGCATGAAAGTGCTCTCCTCTCTCCTGTGCTTTCTGGGGAGCTTTCTGTGACTCACAGAGCCAGCCTGATCACTCTGCTCCGGGGTAATCATCTGACAATGATTATTTCCAGCTGTCAGCAGTGAAAGCAAAGCTCAGGGAGCAAGAACAGAGCTCTCAGCAGGTTCAGGCTCTGGGTGGACACCTAGGGAACACAGGAGGTCGTTAAATACCAACTGAGGGGAGCAAATGTTAATGTTTTGCCTGAGTTTCATGCTGCAAGAACTCAGAAAATATTGCTCATGCCAGAGTTATGATCCCACCAAAGGGAACTTTCCCATTCCTGCACAGTGGTTCTGATGGATTCTGGTGCACTTCCCACACAGGAGCACTGGGGTGCTTGCAGAAACTGCTAGGACAGAAAGGTGAATTCACATTTTTGGAGTTTAACTGAAAAAGGGTTTTTTAATAAGCAGAAGATTCCTTGAGACCTAAGAACACTGCTCTGAGATCTTCATTTTCTTGTTTTTGGGGACTTTATAGAAATAAGGATGAATTCTTTCCAAATATATCACCTGTGTGGCACTAAAGATTTTTTTTCTGATTTTCCTTTCCTCATCCCATCCTCTTCCTTTTCCTCATCCCTATTCTTATTCTCATCTTCTTGCCTTTCCTCATCCCCATCCCCATTCTTATCCTCATCCCTTTCTCTTATCTCATCCACTTTCCCTCCCTATCCCCATCCCCATTCCCATCGTCTCCCATTTTCTCATCCTCATTCTTATCCCCATCCCCTTTCTCATTCCCATCCCCTTTCCCTTCCCTTCCTATCCCATCCTTTTCCCTCTTCTCATTCCCATCCCATCCCCTCCCATCCTCTCCCCTTTTCTCATCCTCATCCCCTTTCCCATTCTATCCTCTTTCCTTTTCTGATCCCAATTCTCATTCCCATCCCTTTTCCCATTCCATCCTTTCCCCTCTCCTCATCCCCATCCCATCCTCTCCCCTTTCCCCATTCCCATCCTGTTTCCCCATCCCATCCTTTTCCCTATCCTCATCCCCTTTCCTTTCCCATCCTGTCATTTTCCCTATCCCCAACCCCTTTCCCATCCCATCCCGTCCCGTCCCATCCCATCCCATCCCCTTCCCCATCCCATCCTTTTCCCTCTCCCCATCCCCTTTCCTTTCCCATTCCATCCTCTCCCCATCCCCATTCCCATCCCCTTTCCCCATTCCAATCCCCTTTCCCCATCCCATCCTCTCTCCTCTCCTCATCCCTGTTCTTATTCTCATCCCATCCTTTCCCCTTTCCTCTCCCCTCTCCCCATACCCATCCCACCCCCACCCTATTCCCATCCCCTTCCCCTTCCCTCCCCACCCCTCCATCCCATCCCCACCCTCCCGCTGGCCCGGGCCGTGCTGCCGCCGGGCCGGCAGGGGCGGTGTGCGGGCGCCGCGGGCGCGGAGCGGGGGCCGCGGAGCGGGCGGAGGGCGCTGCCCGGGGCCGCCCCGCTCCCCCTCAGGCCGGGCCCGCCGCCCCCGGCCCGGGCAGCGCCGCGGCGGCGGCGGCGCAGCGAGGCCGGCGGGGCGGCCGGAGGATGCGGGCGGGGCGGGCGCGCTGCCGTTCCCGGGTCGGGCAGCTAGAGAGCAGTGCAGGGATCCCGAGCCTGAGCCCGGCGCTCCCTTCCTGTGGGCAAGGCCGACAGCGCAGCCGAGCGCCGGCCGAGGCCCGGCCCGGCCGCCCCCGCTGCGCTCGCCCATGGCGGAGACCAAGATCATTTACCACATCGACGAGGAGGAAACGCCGTACCTGGTGAAGCTGCCCGTGCCGCCGGAGAAAGTCACGCTGGCCGATTTCAAAAATGTCCTCAGCAACCGGCCCGTGCACAGCTACAAGTTCTTTTTCAAGTCCATGGACCAGGATTTCGGGTGAGCGGCCGCGCTCCGGGCGCGACCCCGGCCCTCGCTGCGTTCTGCGGGCCGCGGGCCGGGCAGGGCTCGCAGCATCCCCGGGGCACCTGCCGGGCTCGGTCCGGCCCGGCCCCGCTCGGCACCGCCGGCGCCGCGAACATGGCGGGCGCGCCGGGCCGCGGGCTCGGGGCTGCCGCGATCGCGCCCCGCCGTGCCCCGGGACCCCCCCGTGCCCCCTCAGGAGCGCCACGGGCCCGCCCGGAGTCGCCGCGTTGCCCCCGGGCCAGGGCCGGGGCGGCGGGGACGGGCTGCCGCAGCTGTCACCGCGCCCGGGGAGGCCGCGCAGCGCCCGGGCAGGGCGGGCGGGCCCAGGGTGAGCGCCGAGGGGTCCCGGGGAAGAGCAGGGGAACCGCGGGCAGCGCTACCACCGCCGCTGTCACAGATCTGACGGGTGTCACATCCTCGGGGTCGGACGGGTGACAGGCGGCCCCGGTTGAACGGGTGTGAAGTGGTCGGTGGGTAAATGGGGGACGAGTGGTCAGTGGTCAAACGGGCGTGAAATAGTCAGTGGTCAAATGAATGTCAAATAGGGGAGAAGGGGTCATTGGTTAAACGGGTGTGGAATGGTCGGTGGTCAGACGGGTGATAGGTGGTTGGTGGTCAAATGAATGTCAAAGGGTTGGTGGTCAAACAGGTCGGTGGTCAAATGAATGTCAAATAGGGGACAAGGAGTCAGTGGTTAAACGGGTGTGGAATGGTCAGTGGTTAAATGGAATGGTCAGTGGCCAAACGAGTGTGAAATGGTCAGTGGTCAAATGAATGTCAAAGGATTGGTGGTCAAATGAATGTCAAATGGGGGAGAAGGGGTCAGTGGTCAAAGAGGCGTGGAATGGTCAGTAGTCACATGGAATGGTCAGTGGCCAAGCTTGTGTGAAATGGTCAGTGGTCAGATGGGTGATGACTGGTTGGTGGTCAAATGGGTGTGAAATGGTCAGTGGTCAAAAAAATGGGGGACAAGGGGTCAGTGCTCAAACGGGTGTGGAATGGTCAGTGGTCAAATGGAATGGTCAGTGTCCTAATGGCTGACAAGTGGTCAGGGGTCAAACGGTGCCAGGGGCTGTGCTCAGACCACAGCTGTCAAATCCTCGAGGTCAGACAGGTGTCAGACGGTCCCTGGTCAAACGGGAGTGAAGTGGTCAGTGGTCAAATGGGTATGAAATGCTCAGTGGTCAAATGGGTACAAACTGGTCAGTGGTCAGACAGGTGACAGTGGTCAGTGGTCAGACAGGTTCAGGGGCTGTGCTCAGACCGTGACTGTCAAATCCACTGGGGCCAAACAGATGTCGGATGGTCCCTGGCCACACAGGTGTCAGGTGGTCAGTGGCCACACAGGTGTCACACAGTCCCTGTTTGAACAGGTGACAATCACCTTGTGGTCAGACAGCTCCAGGGGCTGTGCTGGGCCAGCAGCTGTGAAACCCTCGGCTGAAGATGGTCAGTGGCCAAACAGGTGACAGACGGTCAATGCCCTCTTCCAAGGGCACAAGCTGAGCTGGATGAAAGCAGGGCTGGACTTTGAGATGACCTCTGTGGTGGCCAGAGGCAGCTGAGCGCCCGAGCCAGGGGTTTGACATCGTCCTATGCCACCGGACTTGGCGACAGCCAGAATAAAATAAAACAATGCAAGTCCCTTTGACAGCTTGCCAGACAGTAACTTTCAAAATGTATTAATCCTTTTGTAGCAAATCACTTCTCTTTGTACTCGCATCTGTCGCTGGCAAGGCAATTTTGCGCAGTTAAATACCTTGCCAGGAATTAAAAAAAAAAAATATGGAGCAGGTTTGTGGGAAACTCGTGCGGACCTGACTCCAAAACAACGCCGTGGTTGAGGTGCAGGGTTGGTGTTTGGTGAGATAGATCACCCCAAGCATCCTTGGATGTGTTGTGCAGCCTCTTTTTTATCCCTGAGACCTGAACCTTTCATGCTGATTGTGTTTTTCTCCCTGGTGGAATGTGGATATTGTTTGTTGACACGGATTTCTGATGTGGTGAGTTGTTAGTGTTGGCTTGTAACCACAGGAGTGTTCATGGATTGACTTCTTGTTTTTCTCACTTGTGCAAACATTTTTTTTTTGAGGGGGGAAGCAACCCTACAAAATGTTTGTTTTCAGAATAAATGTGATTATTGGTAAATATCCCTCCTTCACCTCCCTGAGTGACAGGGACACGTTGTTGTCGTAGAAATTCAATGTTTGTGGTTTGATTTCACTAAAGGAGGTTGGGATTGTTCAGGCAGCAGCTGCATGGTTCCCAGTGCCACAGAAATTTACAAGTAGGAAATATAAACTATGCTGAGGCATCTCGAACACACGGGGATGTTTTGGCTTTTAACCAGGAAACAGAGTTTGTAACAAACCCTAGAGTGGATTTTGTTATTAGTCTGAAAATTGGGATGAAATTTGTCTGTTCTTCTTGGAAATGGTCTTTGACCAGGAAACAAAGTTTGTAACAAACCCTAGAGTGGATTTTCTTATTAGTATGAAAATTAAGGTGAAACTTGTCTGTTATTCTTAGAAATGGACATGATGGAAGATGAAGGGCTGCAAGGATCAAGACCTGGAAATTCAGTCTCTGTTATTTAATCAACAGCATTTGGTGACAATCCATGGCCTCGAGACAGCTCAGAGTGACTCTGATGTAGGACTCCTGAGCTTTGTTTGCATTTATTTTCTGTGTCTTGTTCCTTTTGTGTTTGTGCCTCTCTGAACCCAAAATATTTGGGAAAATCAGAAGAAAATTCTGAAATCAGAAGAAAATTCAGCTGAATTTTGGCTGTCTTAGTGAGTGTTAGTAGTAAAAATGGGCTTTGTTTTCATCATCTTATCTGCAAACTGACTTTTTGTTGAATCATGGAATATCCTGAGCTGGGAGGGATTATCCAGCCCAGACACCCCAAAATCCCACCCTGGGAGCTCCTGGGGCTGGGACCATCCCCTGGGGCTGTGCCCAGAACCCTCTGGGGGAAAACCAAACTCCCCAAATCCCTCCCAACTCCCTTGGCCCAGCTCCATCCTTTTAATTGTTGCACGCAGGCAATTCCAGCTGCTGTTTCCACAAACCATAACAGAGCTGTGGCTCTCTAATTTCTCCCTTCTGTGCCTGAAAATCTCTTGCCTGGAAGTGGAGCTGCAGGGACATTTTGGGTGTCCTCCCCAATGGTGCCAAGCTGGGATTTGGCTCGGTCCGTTTAGGGCAGTCCCTAAAATCCTGAATTTTTTCACTGAAATGTGAAAAGCAGTGGTTGTGTTAGGAAAAGAAATGTTTTCCTGCAGGATTGGAAACAGACTTTTTGTGGAAACATGGAATATCCTAAACTAGGAGGGATTATCCAGCCCAGAGATCCCAAAATCCCATCCCTGGGAGCTCCTGGGCAGTGCCCAGAGCCCTCTGGGGGAAGAACCAAAATCCCAAAATCCCTCCCAACTCCTTTGGCATAGCTCCATCCTTTTAATTGTTGCAAACAGGCAATTCCAGCTGCTGTTGCCACAAACCATAACAGAGCTGTGGCTCTCGAATTTCTCCTTTCTGTGCCTGAAAATCTCCTCCAGAGCAGCTCTTGCCTGGAAGTGGAGCTTCAGGGACATTTTGGGTGTCCCTGTGGTGTCCTCCCCAATGGTGTCGAGCTGGGATTTGGTTTGGTCCCGAAATCCCTGATTTTTTTTTCACTGTGCAATGTGAAAAGCAGTGGTTGTGTTAGGAAAACAAATGTTTTCCTGCAGGATTGGAAGGAGCTGACTCCTTGCAATTCTGCACATGCTGTTGTAATTAAGGCCCAGCCTTTCCTGGATGCTGAAATAATGGAATAAATCCTGTGCTCACAAACCCTGCACGTGCTGAATGCTTTCCAGCTGGGATGGGATGGGATGGAGCTGGGTCCTGCATGGGGCATGGAATTCAATGGAATTCAAGCCCTGGGTTCTTTGCTCCTTGGAAGGTGCAGGAGGAGGTGTGGGAGGGTGACATTCCCATCTGAGCTTTGCTTACAGTTTAATTCATAAATTAAATTATAAATTTATATTATAAATATATATATATAAAATATATAAAATTATTATATTATAAATTACATTATAAATTAATTTAATTTTAAATTAATATAATTTAAATAATTAAATTAAATTATAATATATATAATATATATTATATATTATATATATTATATATTTATAAGTTTATATTATACATTATAAATTAAATATTTTAATTATTAAATTTCAAATTTAATATAATTTTTTAAATGTATTGCCCTGCCACTTTCCCCTGTGCCAGTTCTGACCCACACAGGGATGGCCCTGCCTTTTCTCTGCTTTCCTCCTTCCTCCATCTGTACCATAATGCTGATTTTAAGGTGCAAGATGTCCAAATGGAAGTGCTTTTGTAGCTTCTGTTTTTATTCTGGTTGCTGGAAAACCAAGCAGGGATGTTCTGTAACAGCCTCACTGCTGTGACAGCATTCACCAGCAGTGAAATTTAGGAGAGGTGATATTTGAGGAATGTTTTTCTAGACTAGGGGCTGTGTCATCAGCTGATTTAATTAATTCCAGCCACTGATTCTTTCCTGAGGGCAAAGCTCAGAGGCCATTTCCCATCGGTGGCACTGCTGATTCTCAGGTTACTGCCCCACAGAATTCTGTTAATTCTTTGATGATTAAAAAAATGACAGCTAATGAACACATCTAAAAATAAAGCTGCAGTTTGTGATGCCTGGGTTCTGGTGGTGGAACAGTGACAGCTGTGTGGGATCCAAATGATTCATCAGGAATCTCTGACAGATCCTGCAACAGGAATCCCTTTCTGCTTTGAAATATTTGATATTTCCAGAGCAAAGCTCATAAAACACAATCAGTAACTTGCAGGAGCACAGAAGGATCAATGTGGAGGATCCAGGCAATTAAAGATGTTAAATTTTCTGTAAATTTATTTATTTAATTAAACATATTTAATTTTCTGTAAGTCTA